TATTTATATTTTTCATTGTTTAAATTGTGGGTTATTCAGAGAGCTGGCAATTTGTGATGTCAAAGGGAAGTCTGCCTTCTGGATCTTTTTCTCCTTAGCATTTTAGAACATATACAGATATAGAACCAGAATGAAGCCAATATATCCAGTGTTTAGCCCTTTTCCTCTGGTCAGGTGTGTCTTGTCTCTGAGATTCTACTTTCCTTTATCATCGCCCTCTCTTTCTGTGGAGCAGGAGAGGTTTCACAAACACCAAGGCCAAGGCCACTAAATCTTGCACTGTTTCTCAGTCACCAGTTTGAAGGGGATCTGGAGTTAAGCCTAACTCAGAAGAAACCACTGGAGGGTGCCATTTGCGATGTAGATATAAAGATGAATAAGACTGTTTGGAATGTTCCTTATGAAATACACACACACACACACACACACACACACACAATTCAATCAATAAAAAATGAGTTAAAAACAAAATAAAACAAACAAAACAAGCAAAAAAAAATCAACAACAAAAAGAAAGGACAATCAGAGGAATCATTACAAACAAAACAAACAAAAACAACAGAAACAACAAAAAGAAATGACAAACAGAGGAATCATTGAATCCCTTTGTTAAAATGGTTTCAGAGCATATTATTATACTTTCTAGTTAAAGTCAACTTATACAAAAATTCTTTAATATAATGCTTAAGTATTAATGCATTTAAAATATGACATACTATTCTGCAACACCTGACCATTCTCATTTTTCCATTGTAAGCCAGGGCAGTCAAGGGAGAGAAAAATGCTATCATATGATTTAAAGACAAGTATACACATCTTTCTGCTTTCATCTTTTAAACAAACTTTGGACTCTGTGCTGATGGAAACTAGAAGGAATGAGAGAAATTGTAGTCAATTACCATGCCCATTGCTTAACTGTATTCATAAGTGTTTGTGCATATACACATATGTGTAGGTAAGTAAATTTTTATAATGATACCACAGAGTTAGAATGCTAAAATTATGTCTCCTATGACTACAAAATAATAGCCATCAGTCTGCAATCCAGTACATCCCATTTCTATATTGTCCTGTACAGGGGAAAGTGGGAGTTCCCCAATGTGATCTAATTGCCCAAGACAATCTGCAAAGGAATGTTTTTGGCATTAAAAAAATTAAATCATTTTATTTTTAAATATTGGGAGAAATTAGTATCGTATATATAACTTACATCTGTATAAACCAATGCATATTTTCGCTATATGAATTTTTTCTCATTTTTTCATTCCTTTTCATTTTTCACAGATGAAGCTACTGATTATTAAAAATACAATCATAAAAAGTTCTTCATATATATGATATGTAACTTTGATTATTCATTATCTAAATTAAGTGGAAATATTATATTAACTGTATAAAGATAGAATTTTAATAGGAGGAAATATATATATATATTAATATACAAAGATAATTTTCCAGATTGCTTTCTTCAAATTTGACACTCTTCATCCTTAATCCTCTGAAATCAGATTGTAATGATAATAATAAATTTTTAAGACTAATAAATCCTTCCTGAAATCAAAACTGTGACAGCAGTAGCCTACTTTAGGCCTGTTCATAAAAAAATAACAAAAAAATAACTGGAAAGTAAGAATTAGTCTGGCCATAAGCCAACGTCAAAGCTATTATCATTTTTAAAAGCTCATTCTTAGTAGGACTTTTTTTTTTTTTTTTAGCACTGATTAGTTTGGTAACTGAATTCCATGTAATTTTGCCACAGGGGGAAAATGTTTTCCTGAAAGAATGAAAATGATAAAAGTTAAAACCAAAATGACACATAAAACAGATTATTTTGGCTTTAGGGATTAACTATATTAACACATGGACTGATATAATTGGTTAATTTGCTAGCGACTTACTGGGCGCCTGGGAACTGAAATGGGTTCAATAGCCTTCCCAGGGTTTCATCTCACACACTCCACAGACAAAAGTCATTGTACTCAAGGAAAGCTACTGTACTTTCTCTGGCATAGCCTTCACATTTTGTGGAAACTGCTTTAATATTCAAAAAAAAAAAAAGATGAGTTGGTATTTCTGTAAAGAAGGGTAGTTTAGTAGAAACTTCGATGGGATTCAGAGCTCTGTGTCAAGGCCTACAGCACAGGCATCACTAATTATTTATATCCTGCTGTTAAGCGTGAAACAGGCTTGACTGCCCTTACAGCAGCTGCAGTCTTGCCACGTGTGCAGCACCATGAACTTTATGTGGGAGCTCTCCTGAAGAGCCTTCAGGGGCATGGGGCACTACAAGCAGGTAGAATCATTGTCAGAAGAGTCTTCTGAAGAGGCCTGGTGCATCGGCAGTAATTAATGCAGGTGGTATTTTAGACAAGGGAGCTAATGAGCTTTAATATGCATGCAGGTGAGGGAGTGCTGAATCAGTAGAGCCATTAATGAACCTATGACAGCCTAATTAGCTACAATTTAAAATCTATGGAATCTAATCAGAGAAGCTGAACACTGCTGCAAATCTGTGTATGAATGAGTCTTTCTAAATACTCCAATCTGTTGCTTAGTCACTGATTGATAGTAATTGCTTTTTTTCCTCTATTGTGTGTAGGAAAATGCCCAATTTTGTTCTGATAGGGGAGGACACAACATTGAAGTTAAATGCCTAAGATGTTTTAGCTGCTTAAGTTTAATCACTAGATGTTTAAAAAAATCAAAGCAAAATTAATTTTCAACTCTGAATATAGATGATTTAAAATACACCACTAACTTCCTTATATATTAAGTTGGCAAAGATGGTATAGCTTTTAATCAACTCCAATAGCATCTCAGTGTAGTAAGACACCGCAAACATGCAAATACATAAAATACCTTTATTAACCCATAATTCGTTTTAAAAGGGTTTATTTATGTTGGTTATCAGAGATACCAGGGCAGCATACTTGTTGAATATTTGAGGAAAAAATAGTTTTCTGAGGTTAACACAGTCTATTAGAGATTCTTTTAAAGTGGCTGAGCTAAGTGTTCCATCAGAAAATGAGAATGATGTTATGAAAGTGTGCAGGGATCATATTTTTTAGTGCCATTTGGTATTAACTGATGTATAAAAGGTACAAGCAGTTTTTCTACTCTGACATTTCACCCTTATACAGCACAATTCATCTGAGAACTTTAAAGAACTTTGCAGGCTCTGATTTATTGAGTCTTATAACACCACTGGAAGACAGGTCACTATGTCTATCCTCATTTTACAGTCAGCTCAACTGAGATCCATTTGCAGAAGGTCACAAGGGAGTCAGTGGAAGAACTATAAAAAGAGATGCCAAAAGCCCTGAGTGCATACCCCTTACCTTTTCTGTTTGATAAATGGTACATTTCACAATTCTGACACTTCAACAAAAATTCAATGTATCTAATTTTTGAAAGTTAAAAATATCTTTGGAATGAATGCAGATATTATGATTGTGAGTCATGTTACGTTGCTGCTTGGTGTTTATCAGTTATGTGTGTCATTTCAGTTTATAATCTAATGAAATAGCTACATATCTTTATTGATCCTAATAGACATCGTCATAATGTACTGTTCCTGTCAGATTAGACATTAGGACTAAGACTGAAACCTCCAAAACAATAATAGAATAGTCTCTGTAGTTGGAATGTAAGAAAAAGAAATAAGAAAGAAAGAAAAGAGAAAGAAGCTAAGAAAGGGAAAAAGGGAGACTGAGGAATTAGAAATAAAAAAAAGATGGAGGGAGTGAAGAAGGAAGTGTTCACAGTGAAAAATGTCTGAAAAAATGAACACAGAACTCATGACAACATAGCTACAAACAGAAATTCACTGAAGCAGCTACTGAATAGCCATTGATATAGTAAAGATGTACAAGTGGTATAGAGTCCTTTAAGTATATTATTTCATGCAATCCTTTTCTATCAAGAGAAATGCAGGAATGTGAAAGAACAGAGATAACTAAACAATGTGTCAAAAAATTTTAGCTTATCTGCTAGAATCTCCAAAATCCTTTTTAGTAGTTAATATATGTTCCCAGGGGCTATTTTTAAAGAATCTGATTTTTAAATGAAATAATCACTGGCCTAAAGCATAATTGTTTCTTTCAAACTTGATGCTATTTTTGCTTCTTGGCCTTTTAGCTAAGATCCAGTGTACATTTCTTCTTTTCAGTTTAATGTCTGATGCATCCTTCACCTGTGGACAGTATATTTAATGGATTTTGTGAGGTAGGAGATGGAACAGGAGCTTGCTTCATCCACATGATGCATCCACCTGGTATTACAGTGCTCCAAGGAATGATACATATCCTGGGGTAATAATACAGTTTCAGTTTAAGGTTAAGCTTAATAAAAGGGTTTCTAAGGTACACTTCATGGGTAGATTATTAACATTCTTTTTTTTTCTTTAGTGGTTGTATGGATGCCAAACACTTGATAATATTCTCATACTATCATATTTAATTATTCTACCAGATACAAATTAGTTCATGGAACAAATCATCCTTAAAACAAAGTTTCCCAGCTCATTGCCATTAACAATATCTACAAAACTGTTGATTTTCTTTAAAATAAAGTCACAATAATGCTAGCAAAACTTTAGTATATTTCATGAAAAAAATTATTTTATAAAACATATATCTAATTAGAAATGTGGCCAAATTTTATTATTGTTTTTCTTAAAGTAGCAAAAACAACTGACCCCCACAAGCTATTTTGTTAGTCCATTCTGTGCTATAATATAAAAAATGGAAAGAGCCTATTTTGGAATTGATTTTATTGATTTATATTTCACATATAATGTATGAATGGGTTTTAAATATTTTTCTAATAATTTCTTTAATATATATGTTTTATTAAAGAAATCATAATTATAAAACTATGCTACATTTATATATATATGGGAAATAAAAATCTGACATGTTAGAATTAGAAAATTTTATTTAAAACACTGTATATATGTTTTTGCTAATTGTATAATTTTCAGCTTTACAAAAAAATAAATATGAACATGTAAACATCATCACTTTTACAGTTATAATTTTTAATTTCAGGAGTAAGAGTTCTACTTATAGTAATAAACATTTCAAATAACACAGAATCTAATATGATATGGGAGTTTAAAATAAACTTGTAAAGACTCCAAATTCCATTATTTTTCTTTCTCTTCCATTAAATGAAACCCTACACTTTGCAAGGTTTTCTTAGAGCACTCAACTTAGCTGAATATCTTTGAAATTATTTCCTAATCTCTCTAGATTAAATATTCTTTTTTGTAGATATGATATTATAGAACTGACTTTCTCAACATGTGCAAGGAGAAACTGGGCAAAATGTCAAGAAACTGTCACTGAGTAAAAAACTGAAACTGTGCTCAGTAAGTTTTGGTTTCAAAACTCTGCTGTATTGTAGGAATAGTAAATTTTTACTAAAAATATGAAATTATCACTTCAAGGAGATTATTTCAATGACAATAGTAGAGAACCTTAATCAGGTTTTTAATTTTTTTATTTATTATTTTTATTTTATGTGTATCAGTGTATTGCCTGCATGTAAGTAAGTGCACCCGTGTCATGCAATGCCTGCAGAAGACTGAAGAGGCTGCTGGATCACCCGGGCCTGGAGTTATGGACAGTTAAGCCCTGTGGGTGCTGGGATTCAAACTTGCATCTTTTGCAAGAACAACCAGTGTTCTTAACCTCTGAGCCATCTCTCCAGCCCCCCTTAATCAGGTTTTTAAAACCATAAGTTGTTCCCTTTTACCTTTAAGATTCTGGTTCCAAACTCATAATCACTGCCTTTCCTGTTCATGGACAGAATGATTTTGAGTACACAAAAGCAATATATTTAGAAAAACACTGGACCTTGGTGATAGGTCATGCTATTTATTGAAATATTTCATTGAATAGACTACATTTTTTTAATTTATTAAATTGTGGAAACTATTATGTTTTAAATACAATGATTTGAACCAATTAAGAAATAGGCCTAACTATTTGAAAGCCAAAATAGAGAGTCATCCTTTAAGGATGAAAGAACAAAGATTGTTAGTAGATGCTGTGTACTCCATGCATGAACTTTTAAATTTTCTGTGTAGTGATTATGTGTTTGTTTGTTTACTTATTTAATGGCTGTGTGTGCATGCTATAGCACATGTGTGCAAGAAGACACCTTGCAAGAGGTTTTTTTTTTTTTTTTTTTTTTTCTCTTTTAACTGGAAAGGGTCCAGGGATCGAACTCAGGTTCTCAAGGTTAGAAGCAGGCGCCTTTATGCACTGAACCATATTGCCAGTCATATGCATGGCTTTCAAATAGCTTTGAAAAGGCAAATGTCCATGCCTGTTATAAAGGACTCTATACACACATAATGCTCAGGAATTATAAATAGAAAGAATGATAAAGAAAATAATATTATAGGAAAATATTCCAAATAATAAAAATTCTCAAAAATGCAAAATTATATATATTACATAATTTTAAATCATCTCAACAAAGTGTAACCATAATTTTTACTAAGAAATCAGAAATCAACAAGATGAAATGACAAGAAAATTTACAGTGTTAATAGAAACATGAAAGAACTATAGCAACATACAGAGAAGAAAGACATGATAAAAATAAATATGCAGTTCAAATAAACAGATCAATCATTTAAGAAAATGCACAGTAGACAAGACAGAACAAGACAGTAGACAAGACAGGACCGAAGTGTCTAATATTTGTATAGGACATTATATCTTCTCTCTGTATATATTTATATATTGTATATGTATATACAGAAGATAGATACAATTGATGTTTTGAAAATTTTTATTCTTTGACAATTTCATACAAGCATACAAAGAATTTCAGTCTTTCTCCCTTTTAGACTACAAGTTAAACTACAAGAGGAAGAAAGAGATAACAATGTAAGAGAAAAGAGCAAAGACATATTAGAAAATTTCATAACTTTATAACACCTTTGTATTTCTTACCTGAACACATAAACTTGGGAGGGTTCTATAAAGTT